GTGGCGTTCACTCATTTGAGTGTCCGTTCCATCGCTCGAGGCATGTCAACCCAGTTCCCATCCATCGTGATGAGAACGCCTAAACAGCCCTAATCGCTACGCTAAAAACCCTAAATGCGACGCCACAGGAGCTCCGTCCATATGGTGATGAGCAATTTCAAGCTCCCAGCATCACGGAATTACCTTTCTGGGACGATCGATATATGATGGAAGTAGTTCGGTGCTGAAAATGCCGGCAGGCGAGAGAGTGAGACTTTGAGCGAAGACGATGAAACGGAACTTGTATTTCCTATCATCCAAGTTCGTCGGCTGGCAGGGAGAATCAATTTTTAGTTGGACGAGCGTAAGATGGAAGATGGAAGGACTGGGCAGTATTCCTGGACGAGCATAAGCGAGAGATGGAAAATAGGAAAATACATACAATCCAACGTAAAACATTTGGTTACCTTTCCCATAACAGTTTTCCTTCCTCTTCTTCGGGATCGAATCGGAAACAAGTCTTGGAGATGGAGTCGGAAAGATATGATATGAGACGGAAAGTGCCGGCCGGGCGGTAGGCGACGCACGGCGAACGGCGAACGGCGCGCGAAAATCATTGCCTTCTCTCGGGCCCATAGCTCATTGGCGCGTATGATTCTGTAGGCGTCACTGGAGGCACTCTCGCGAAGATCTGCGTACCTCTGCGTAGTCAATGATCGTCGACGAGTGAGCCCTGTGGTCGTCCCGGCCGTCGCGCGCGGTCCGACAGAGCACTCGCACTGTTGCCAACGCGCCCGTCGCGTAGATAGGGGCAACGACCAGCGGTGGACATCGGACGTCAAGTGCACAGCATTCAAGTGGTATCTCGGGCCTCAACCCCCCGAGGGCAATTTGTATTGAACATATGCTCACGCTCTCATGCATCTCAGGACGCATGAGCAGGTACATACGCGGTTGCTGCGACTTGCAAGTCGTCGCAATAAGATCACTGTAATCGAATGCGAATGCGGTGCAGACGAGCTCGGAGGACCTGGATCAATTAAACGGCCGGCCGGACGGTCCATGAGACGGGAGGGATGCAAGCGACTAGGACTACAACGGAATCGGAAGGCGATATCGAGTACACAATGTGCAAAGCAAGAAAAGTATATACAACTGCGCGGGTCGGGTCGGTCACTGTGCCTGAGAAATACGTTCAGTATTACTGTGAGTACGAGGCAGAAACTTTCACGGACCTCGTAGTTCCCCACATTGAAGCTGAGGAATAAAATAAGCGTTACACGCGAAGATGAGATGACCTTGACTTACTGCACATGATCCCCCTCGCCAAGAGTGAGTCGCACTGGCAGTCGAGGGTCAATGCGCACCGGCGCGCTGTTCCCCACGAAGAAATCGCCACGGCTAAAGTTCTTGATGACAGCGGTCTCCTCCTCCGTAAGCGTGCGCGGGCGCTTCGCAGCCCGGAACGTAGTCGAGGACGCGCCGGTGAACGCCCCGTTGTAATCGTAATACTGCTGGTGGTTCATCGTCAGTCCACTTTGCGAGGCGGCGTACACCGGAGGCGCCGTGGCCACTGCAAACGTCGCGCCGCCTGCGCCCGGCGCAGATACAGATTCTCCTGTTTTATTCCTTCGTTAAGATGATTGTTTTTTTGGTAAATGCAGACGTGCCTGCAGGTGCGGTAGCGCGTCCCTGGTCCGGAGTTTCGGAATCGGCATATGCACAAACGTTGCCCAGGCCGCGCTTAAGACAATTCTGCGGGCGGCACATGCGAACCGATTAGATTAAGACGCCAGGGATCGCGGGACATGCCTGGCAAGGAAGAACCTCGCTGCATCGTGTTTTCCCAGCGTGACAAGCAGTGCAGGCGCGACGGACTGAAGGCCCTTTCGCTGCGATTTTATTGAATCTGCGATAGAGGGAGTTTAGGATTGTTTCACGCACGCTTGCGGATGCTTGTGGCGGAATCGCCTGGAGATTGGACTTGCTGCTGAGGCTGCTGGGGAGTCTGCTGCTGGATCTGGTGGTGTTGGGGATGTTGTGGGTGCTGTTGGTGGTGTTGGTCGGTAACAATTTGCTCCGCATCCGCCATATTATCGGCGCTCGCGGTATCGGCGACGGCGTAGAACGCGGTCGGCAAGCGGGTCGGTGAGCAGCGTGAGAAGAAAACTGTGACACCCCGAAAAGGAAAGTTGCCCTAACACCATCACCGGGACCTTCAGCCGGATGCCGGTCGATTGCTACAAGAACCTTTCATGCAAGCCACCACAACGTCGTAACCTAACCATGCAGCACATGTCCCCGCCCCCGCCTTTCCCCGAGTTTCTGGACTTTTCCTTCGACGGCAGCATGTTTCCCAGTCCACCACCCCTCCCATCCTCTGCAGACCTTTTTTCTGCAGCAGAGACCACCGATCTCCTGGGTTTCCTCGATAATTTCAACGATTTTGGTTGGGAGAATAACGAGCAACTATTAGAACAAGCAGCAGCAGCCGCCATCACAGTACATATACCTCGCCGCGAGCACCGTATTCCAATCCCCATCTCAATACTGCACCAGAACCATCCACCTCGGGACGTCCCCGACGAAGCACGCGCTCTGCAACCGCCAGCCGTCCATCCCCACAGCAGCAATCTCAACCACAGCTCCGCAGCCGACGTGAGCGTGATCCCTCCCCGAGACGCGATAGCCAAACGCCGAGCAACGCGTCCGAGACGTCCTCGCACCCTGAGCAGTCACAATCCCAATCCTACGAGCAGCAGCAGCACCAGTGCCCCCGCCTCTAGTCTCCGCTCCCGCACCCGTACCACGTGGCTCCAAGCCCCTGCTCTCGACGCCGCAGAAACGGCTAAACCACATCATGTCGGAGCAGAAGCGCCGGAACGCCATCCGCGATGGGTACGCGCAGCTGATCGCGCTGCTGGCCCCGGCCGGATCTGCCCCGGGGCTTGGGATGCCACAGCGCGGGACGGCCAAAGGGGAGCGGTAGCAGAGGCAAGGGGCAGAGTAAAGGCAAGAGCGGGGTGCTGTTTCGCGCGGTGGAGTATCTCAAGTGGTTGGAAGATGGACGGGACGCATTAAGGGAAGAGGTTTATCGAGTGGAGGCTGCTGCTGGGATTCGCGATGGTGGTCGTTGAGCTGTAAGAATTGTTCTGTACTTGGTACGTTGCCCTCGTTCGATATCCAGCTCTCATACTGACTCGCCCTCAGACCCTCAAAAATTATTATTATTACGATAAACATGTATACCAAGTATTAATGTTCACTGGCTGTATCCTCCTTATCTTTCCTCGGTTCTTCTCCGTCTCATTTTTAGCGACGACGCGTTTATCCGGCACGCTATTGAGTTCACCACCACGCGTACCCTCAGGCGTATCAATTCTGCACGCGTCGCCGAACTAATTAGAAGCCTCACGCGCTCTCGGAATCGGGCTTCTAATGAGAGCATTCCAAAAAAAGAAGAGCGACGGTCTCAGCGACCTCCAACCCGAACGCGGTATTCGCCGATGAGAAATTATACTCATATCTCCCCTACATATCGTATCGTTTTGTGTACTAGTCTTGAATTCCATTTCTCCAAAGCGGAACACGGTGATTTCCGAGCGTGACCGAAGAGCAAATCCGAAACAGGAAACCCGGTATGCCTCCGACTCCGCCACCACGACCTCCGACTCCTCCGCCCGAGTGGCCTTATCCCAAGCTCAACCTCCGTATCGAAGACCTCGCACACCCAGGCGCCGCCCTCTTCCTCGACAATGTCAATCCCTTAGCCGCCCTGCGAGCTGCTGTCCTCGCGAGCTTTGAATGGTTGTACGCGAAGCCCGAGTTGGCGCCGACCAAGTGCGCGTTTCGTGGAACCTTCGGCGTTCAGCTCTAACGTGTCCGGGCTTTTAGCGTTCAATCAATCTTGCTGGTCTTGCGCCCGATGGACGGCGTTGCATACACGTTTGGCTCGCATACGGAGAAGGAGATTCATTTTTCGCTGGACCATATTGTTAACAGTACCTCGCGCGCGCGGGATGAGATTCTCGGAGTCCTCGTACATGAGGTGATTCCCTTGCCTGCTCTCGTTTCCTCCTGCCTCGAGTGGCCACTGCTTTCTCCTGATTCACTTCCAACCCTGATTCACCGCCGCAACTAACCCACGCATCCAGGTCGTCCACTGCTACCAACACAACGCCCGCGGCACTGCCCCGGGCGGCCTCATCGAAGGCATCGCCGACTTCGTGCGCCTGCACGCCAAGCTCGGCCCCCCGCACTGGAGCCGCACTCCCAGCCCGACGGACAAGTGGGACGCGGGGTACCAGACCACCGCCTTCTTCCTCGCGTGGATCGACGCGCGGCCGCATACGAAGCCCGGGACGGTGCGCGCGCTGAATGCGGCGATGTCGGATGCCGAGTGGGAGGACGCGCTGTTTGTGAAGCTGGCGGGGAAGCCGGTGAAGGAGCTTTGGAAGGAGTATAAGAGGGAGTTGGGGGTGGAGGATGAGGAGGAGAGTAAGGATAAGGAGGATGAGGGCTTCACGTTAGTGTGAGTAGGCAGTTCGTTAGCTGAGCTTTGATTTATTTTATTTATTCTGTTCTATTTAGACGGAGCTACAACCCTGTGTATATTTGACGAAATGCAACATGGAATTTGGTCGCCTGTTTTAGAATACACCCTCAATACTGTATCACTAGATCAATGGAATTTACACGAGAAGATCTGGCTCCCGCTAAAATGAACACGCAAACGACCATTTGGTACGATTTCATTCGAGTCGCTCGGAGTGTTCATATATCTTAAACTGCGTCATCCATCGCTGGGGGAAATGCTCGATGTACGCTCCGAACCTTCTCTTCACTTACGAAACTTCAAGAAAAACAGAATTGATCGCAAACCAACAGTTCACAACATCGCTACGCCGTCGTCCAAATAAGGCAATTAATTATCAAGATGAATCGCGATAACTCGCTTGTACTTTCCCACCGTCGGAAGGTAGCCTTATGATCATAGGTGCTTGCTGAAACGAGGTCTCAACGGTTGGATGGCCGAGCGGTCTAAGGCGCCAGACTAAGGATCCGTTTCAATTGAAACACAATTTGTAGACTTCGCAGTTTGCAATCTGGTCCTCCGGGGCGTGGGTTCGAATCCCACTCCAATCATATGTTTGCTTCGCATTCCTTTTTGCAGGTGCTTTTTATTGTATCCTGGCCTTTCGTCTTTTCCTTCCGCCGAAAGTTCTGGTTGTTCTTTGGCAGGTGGGATTCGAAGGCAGATATAAACGCCACCTTTTTCCGCCCCGCTCAGGTCGACACTGGAATGGAACAGCAAATAATTGCTGAAGATCGAAACGAACACGGAATACTTGTCGAGGAGGTCTTTAAAGAATTGTACAACGGTCAACGCCCTAGAAACCCCTACTCCTCAACTTCAACAACCAACTTCGTACAGCCCACCCCCTGGAGCAGTATTTCCAATCCAGCGTTGATAGCACCCAATCCCTTCCCCACGACCTTTGGCTCCGGACTTGACTTGATAGCCCCCTTCGCGAGGCTCTCCCTCAGCCATATTCCCATCCAATACCTGAATTGTTTCAACCTCTCCCCTTCCTCTAGCGACGGCTGCACGAAGATGGTCTCCACCCCGTCCACCACGTCCGCATCCGGGGGCACTACAGGCGCCGAGCCTCACTCTTCTCCCCGCCTTCGTTGTCCCCAAGGAAAGCCTTAAGCACAGTCTGACACGGCGCCAGCTGCCCAGTAGTAAGAAAACAGTGTCGAATTACCAGCCCGTCCTCCCTCGCCGCCGAAACTATCGCATCCACGACCCGGAGGTCTTTGTAGTCGAAGACGCGGTCCGCGCCTAGCGAGCCAACGCACTTCTTGTTCGTCGACCCGGCCGTGGCGTACACGGCGGCGAGATGGGTGTTTTATTGGTGGAGCTGCGACCTCTTTTGATACTGAAGGGCTAACACGGCAAATGGTCGCGCTGTGTAATGCGAGAACAAAAATTGAGCGCGTTACCGAGTTCGCTACCTCCAGCCAGCGCCCGCACGACTTCCCCAACGCGACTGGCACAAAATCTCCCCCAAACTCTCCCCTAGTCGTTCTTCCGCCTTGGGAATCGCCGCGCTCACCCGCCTAAAGCCCTCAGCAGCGAGCACCGAGATTCTTCAATGTAAGATTGCGGAGAATCCGTGCGCGTGGAGAGCAAAATCAAGTCCACCCCCCCGATTCTTTGGTGTATTCTTGCTGAAAACGGAGTAACGTCTGAAACTTGAGACTTCGGCGTTCTCCAGGGTCTTGGCCCTCGTATATCGTGGCTTCGCCCGTCTGCTATGACAGTGCCCTGGAGAACAAAGCATAAAACGAACGAGATTTCTCAGGTCGTCGTTGTGGTCAAAGGTGTGACAGAGGGTCACTGTGACGACACGCGTTCTCTTCCCGACGATGGAGAACCCACACGCCGAACGGCAAGGTGTCCTCCTCCAGCGCATCCTCAACCACACGGCGCGTACAACCATAGCATATCCGCTCCCTCTCTAACCCTTCCACAGGAGAAATGCGCTGAGACGATTACCCAGATCAACAACTGTCTGAATGTGGGTGTCTCGCATTCCTTTCCCTCTCGTATCGGCGTTCTGCACGGCGTATTCGCTGACACTTCCCAGGAGATCATAAAGGATCACGCGCCGGTCAAAACCGCTGCAGACCTCGCGACTAAATATCGGCGGAATGTTCAATACAATCTGGAGGCGACAAAGGGCGACCGTTCAGGCGATACCACGGTTGGGCAGTAGCAGACTGCTCTCGGAGACAGCGAAGAGGCTAGGGATGCATTCACACATATAAATATGGTTTGCGCACAGGTACAATGAAGTTGAACGGACTAGAACACGAGTTACACGACCTGCAGCCTAAAAATCTGGCAACGGGTATGGGTTCTTCAACAGCCGTTTCAAAACCTTCTGATCCTTCTTTCGCAATTTCAGCAGTCCCTCCACATACTCATACAATTTTCCTTGAATGCAAGCCTCGTGCAATTTCATGGGATCGAAAGGAGCGTGAGGGAGGGCGAAGACTTGGCGGTATAGGTCTTTGAGGAGCGTACGTTCTGCCTCGTTTTTAAGGCAATTCATGAATCCGTAGTCCACGGTGACGCTTGGGATAGGCCGTTTTCCCTCGTCCCTAGACGCGACAAACTGTTTCAAATACCAGACGGACTGGAACGCTTTCGGGGAGCCCTTGAGGACTACCTCAAGATGTGGAATTTGTTTGGCTTGAGTGCCAAGCTTTTTAGAGTCGAAGAGCGCGATGAGTGTGGACGATTCGTATGCGTGGTAAAGCTCTTCGAACGTGCATTTCTTGTCCTGGATAAGCTCCGTATACACCGCGGCCAAAATTCGCTCCTCCGCCTCGCTGCAGGCGCAAAAGCCAAATGTGACCCACAACTCATCGAGTTCTGGGGGTGGGTGCATCTCCGACAAGATCAAATTGCAAAGCAAATCGCAGTGCTGTTTCTCCTTCGGCCAAGTGGACCGCTCCGCCGCAATCTGATCCACCGTATCTGTATTGGGACGACCACGAATATACTGCCACGCGCGCTGCTGCATTTGGACCACCGGGTCACTCGGCGGAGACAGCTTGGGATCGAGCACCCACTGGTTTTTGAGAAACCAAGGGAATACCCGCCCCGCGACTGGACAGGTATGGCCTCGAACGTGGCCTTGATGTTGGGGACGAGTGTGCCTGCGGCCTGCCACTGCTGAATTTTCTTGGGGCTGACTTTAAGGCGCTCGATGAGCCCGATATACAGCCCCAAGAGGTTCCTTCGGTTCTCCATACTGAAGGCTCGGCTAAAACCGAAATCCTTGACCGTCTGAGGGTCCTCGGGGAATAGATGCTGCGTAACAGCGCGAGCGAGATGGTCGGTCGTGGTTATGCTCCGCCGGGGGTTGCACTCGAAGATGTGTTTGACCCAGTTTTCTCGTTGACACTCGGCTGAGCAGTACCACGCCGTCGACAGTGTGCAGCCAGAACAACGTTTGGATGCGGGATCCCCGCAGTTCTTGTATTTGTGACTCATGGTGGAAGGACCGACGTCGATGGATGTCGGACGAGAGCGAGATCGCGGTTAAAGCAAGCAGTAATATGGGGAGGGAAACGACGTGGTGATTGGACGAGAGCGGCGGAAAGAGATCGCTGTTAAGCAAGGAGCATTAATCATGGAAGGTCAATTTGGACTTTCGATTTACCCACGAAAACGCGCAGTGGGAAGTCCCCTGCGTTTGAATGCCTCAGTAGTGCTAGTAGGTGGGTATAATAGGGAGATTACTTAGATTATGGCGCGCGCGTCATTTGCGCTTGTTTGCATAGCACGTGCATCGCCTTTGTCCGCGTCTGCTTCGGTGGATGCCGAACTCGCCTTTCCACCGAACTCCCATGCTGGCAAAATTCAAACAACGGCTTCATTCACGACGCAGTACTGCACAAAAAAGTGCCCCCGTACTCAGTGGCATTGATTTCCTCCCCTCCGAAATTCTAGGCGGCGAAATCTTCTCTCTTGTTGTCGACGAAGATATCCTTTGGCACCAAACCCTTTTAGCCTTGGCTTCTGTATGCACACAATGGAGGAATATCGTGCACTCTACTCCCTTCTTATGGAACCAACCCATTCGCATAAACACCCTCCAGCTTTTTAGCCTGGGCCGCTTTCGCAGAAAGAGGATCGCCAAGAAATACTTTGAGGCGCTCAGAATGTGCCTGACGCGGTCTGCGCCGCTCCCTGTGTCCATCTGGGTGGACTCGCCTACCTTAATTGGAGACAGGAAGGATTTTGCGCGCACAGTCGACCTCATTTCCGACGCTGCTGTGCGCATCGAGGTCCTACGCATCAGTAGTCTGCACGGGGACGATGGGGGGGTGTGCATACTGCGCGTGTTGGAGCGCCTTCCCAACGGTTCCCTCCACGCGCTTACAGAGATCGATTTTCGTCACCTGAGTAGTGCAGCCCTACACCCAACTGTCTCGTTCTCACTCATGAATGCTCCGAATCTGCGCCGCGTCAAGCTGAGCGCCGGCCCACATCCTCTGAATTCAATATCCATCCCCTGGCCTCAGCTCACTCACCTCACTCTCGCAGCTCCGCCTCTTGCATGCCTCGCGGTTCTCGCGAAATGCAGTAATCTCGTCTCGGCGGTCTTGCACCATGTGTACACCTCCTTTCCAGATGATACTACACCCACCTCCGCCACCCTCGTGCACTTGACCTCGCTCCGCCTCACAATTTCTTCGACACTCATCCAGGCCATCGGGAACCTCGTCCTCCCTGCCCTGACGGCGCTCGAGTTGATTTACGACGACGCGGACATGATTTGGCCCCAGCTCGAGGTCTTCCGCCAACTCCCCCTCCACAACATCCAATACTTGATGATCGACCTCGACAGGGAGGAGGTGCTCGATTCGGCGACCCTGTGCACGCTGCTACGCTGCACGCCGAGCGTCACCGAGCTCAAGCTGACAGACTGCGTTTACATTAACAACGCGTTCTTAAATGCACTTCGAGCGGATGGTCCCCGGTCGAAACTCCTCCTCCCCCATCTCGAACTGTTTTCCATTGAGTGGGGGTCGGTGCTCGGCACTTATTTTTTTGACTTGAAGACCTTGCAAGCGATGCTTGCGTCCCGGGCTGCTGTGGGATTGAGACGCTTCGTGTACAGGGGAGATTATTCTGAGGAGGTGCCCGTCCTCGCAGCTTACCACGCGGACGGTCTTCAAGTCGACGTTTCAGGTGTAACAAGGCGAATACTCGTTTGAAAGGCAACATTCCATAGACGACAGTAACCATCCATATACTATTCCTTGGTCTCGTTATGCACCCAGAGGCGCGACGCAACGCCCAACAGGAAACGTCAAAGTACCAGAGGGAGGACTACCTCGAGATGGGAACGCTCTCGCCTTCCTACCTGTTCTTCGTTCCTGATTTTCTGTTCCATCCAGCGCTAAACAAGGCGAGCTCCAGCTCCTCTACTCGCTGCGTTAGACCATGAGGATACTGGCCGTGCTTGTTAGTTGGTACTCGCCCTGCGGACGGACGGACGGTCTCGGAAAAGGGCAAAACTCGGCCCGAACCCGTCGATCCACCGTTTATGCGAACTTGCCGT